CATCAAGGGTCCCTGTACGGCCTCCCATTGCAGCTTGTCTCCATCGCCACACTCTGCCAATGTGCCACTTTCCAGGGTCTCCTCACACTGCTGGTGGGTTCCATTTTGTCATAGGGTGCCTGGCAGATTACGGGCCTCCCATTGCTGCTGCCAGACCCGTAATCTGTCATGGGCCCCTGTACCGCCTCCTCATGCTGCTGCCAGGTCCAGAGTGTCTCATGGGCCCCTGTACGGCCTCACCATTGCTGCTGTCTCCATCGCCACACTCTGCCATGTGCCACTTTCAGGTCTCCTCACACTGTGGTGTGTTCCATTTTGTCATAGGGTGCTGGCAGATTACGGGCCTCCCATTGCTGCTGCCAGACCCGTAATCTGTCATGGGCCCCTGTACCGCCTCCTCATGCTGCTGCCAGGTCCAGAGTCTCTCATGGGTCCCTGTACGGCCTCCCATTGCTGCTGTCTCCATCGCCACACTCTGCCATGTGCCACTTTCAGGTCTCCTCACACTGCTGGTGGGTTCCATTTTGTCATAGGGTGCTGGCAGATTACGGGCCTCCCATTGCTGCTGCCAGGCCCGTAATCTGCCATGGGCCCCTGTACCGCCTCCTCATGCTGCTGCCAGGTCCAGAGTGTCTCATGGGTCCCTGTACGGCCTCCCATTGCTGCTGTCTCCGTCGCCACACTCTGCCATGTGCCACTTTCAGGTCTCCTCACACTGCTGGTTAAGTTCCATTTTGTCATAGGGTGCTGGCAGATTACGGGCCTCCCATTGCTGCTGCCAGGCCCGTAATCTGCCATGGGCCCCCGTACCGCCTCCTCATGCTGCTGCCAGGTCCAGAGTGTCTCATGGGTCCCTGTACGGCCTCCCATTGCTGCTGTCTCCATCGCCACACTCTGCCATGTGCCACTTTCAGGTCTCCTCACACTGCTGGTGGGTTCCATTTTGTCATAGGGTGCTGGCAGATTACGGGCCTCCCATTGCTGCTGCCAGGCCCGTAATCTGCCATGGGCCCCCGTACCGACTCCTCATGCAGCAAGGTGCTGCCACACTGATGGTGTGTTCCATTTTGTACATAGGGTGTGGCCCCGTAATCTGTCATGGGCCCCTGTACCGCCTCCTCATGCTGCTGCCAGGTCCAGAGTGTGTCATGGGTCCCTGTACGGCCTCCCATTGCTGCTGTCTCCATCGCCACACTCTGCCATGTGCCACTTTCAGGTCTCCTCACACTGCTGGTGGGTTCCATTTTGTCATAGGGTGCTGTATGGCCTCCCATTGCTGCTGCCTCCACCGCCACACTGTGGCTCCACACTCTGGTTTTGGCCCCGTGACTGCCCAAATGAGTGAAGTGTGCGGTGATGAATATATTCGCATCGAATCGAATTTATTCCTCGAATTCGCCGAATCAGCCGAATCGAATTTTTGAATACTTCGCTCATCTCTAGTTAGTACCTTTCAGTGCATCATTCAGCAGCAGCTGCTTTCAGCCTATCATAGAGTTTAACAGGCTGCAGGCAGTGGGTCTAGTTGGTGTGCCTGTGCCTTCAGCCCGCACCTAAACTCCAGGATCTCATGCACTGGGGCTAAATGCCCAGTGAGCAGGAGGGTTTATACTATCTATTTATATATAATGAATAAAAGCAAACACCAGCTGGGCCCTCTGTACCTCCTGCCTGTCAAGCTGGTTAGAGTCCTGTGGACTTTTTGTACCACTTGGTAGCATTTGCCTTTACCATCTCCACCTGCCACAGATGCCCATTATAGCCGGAATCTGAAGGGCTATTCCCAGTTAATACAAACACAGTCCATAAAGCGGAACTAAAAGTAAAAATACTTACCTTAATACCAATGGTACGATCCCTGTGAAGTTCCTTGCCAGCATCTTCACCTTGGCTTTTTCCGGGTTCCGGTCTTCAGCCACCTTGATTTGCTGGTGTGTGATGACGTCACTCCCACAAAGCAGGCCAGAAAACAAACTGAGCTGCACATGCACATGCGATTGCAAACAGGCAGGTAAGTGTTTTTTTTTTTATTTCAGAAGAGATATTGCATGTGTAGTCTGCAATAAAGACCCTGCCTGTTTGCTACTTGTAATTTTTGTTCACTTTAGTTTCACTTTAAAGCAGAGCTCCAGCCAAAAGCTAACAAAATAAAAAATGACTAGTTCAATAAAACACAAAATAATAAAACATGCTTTTGCTGCAGCATTCAGTTTCAATCTAAAGATTACCGCCCCCCCCCCCCCCCCATACTATCCTCAGTTCGGTGGCCAACATCATTCAGCCCACTTCCTCTATGCCTAGGTCATCCTTGACCCACCTCCTGCGACTGGACAATGAAATGAGAAGCAGCACAAAGATGAGTTAATCTCTCTGTCACTCTGCTCTCTCCTTCGATCAGTATGCTCCTTGGTAGCGCATGGACTGATTGGCTTCTTGTTTTGCTTTTGTTGTACAGGGGCTGTAACAGGGGCGGACTGACAACTCATGGGGCCCCCGGGCACTAGGGGATAGTGGGGCCCCTGTGTCCTTTCCCAAACTCAAAAAAGCCTATGAAAAAGGTACCAGGGGCATCTCATGGAGCCCCCTACTGACCCAGGGCCCTCGGGCAGTGCCCGAGTTTCCAAATGGTCAGTCCGCCCCTTGGCTGTAAGAGGCCAATACCAGGTCAAATTCAAGCACTTACACTGCTTGTATTAACAAAAATACATGTAAGTATATATTCCTGATTACAGAACTTTACTAATGTCTATCTTTTTTAAAGCTCAGCTTTAATCCAATGTGCTGTTTACTCTGAGAGTTCTGGTTTTATTGCAGCAAGAGAGAGACATTCCACATTTCAACCAGGAAAATAAAATCACAGTCGTTACACTGAAAATATGTTTCTCCTGAGTCCTTAGGAGGAAAGGCTCCCCCTTGTGAAAATCACAGATTTAGAATATTATGAAGAATATACAGAACATTCCAGTCCGGATAGAAATTGAGTATATATACCCGGATCTTTTATTTCTGCAAAGAAATAGATGGAAAAATCTCATACCTTTTAGTCTCAGCTACCGTTTCCCTTTGTGAAATATTAATCTATTTTACTTTCGAATCAACAACTTTCAGTTTTAATACAGGCGCACTGGGTTAAGCCAGTACGGCGCATTTAATAAACGTCTGGAGTTCATCAATAATTCAGGCTCAGATATTATTCTCTGACAACACTTCTACAAACAGCTAATAGCAACAATCTAGAGTTACAAACAAAAGCAAGTCTCGTTGTATCATTGTCACAAGAGAACTCAATGTTCCGCTGCAGGATTGCAGTAATCTGTGGCGTTCTATAGGGAAAATATTTTTTCATATACTGTAGCTTAGTAGAAACAAGGTAAGAGATATATGGCAGGAAAGAAATTTAAGAGAAAATTCTGGTTTGCTTGCAACAGATAAATTAGCATTTTGAAATTATAGGAGAATTCCCCCTAATACAAAAGAATAATAAATGCACACATATTGCAAAAAGCAAAAATGTGCATTTATTAATTTTTTTACATTTAAGACTGTAAAACATTGCAACATCAGCCAATGGATCCTCCATCTCAGTTCTATCAAGGTACGGACCTTTGGTCACAGAGCTGGAGGAAGTATCTATGGACTACAAGTATATCTATATAGTCCTCCCGCGCTCTAAATGGCCATTCTCTATATACAGCTGCCAACAACCTACCACATACCACAATGGAAAATTGCTAAATAGAAATTATTTGGTGCTGCGCTATTTAATGTATATATCACATAATCAAGAAATTATTTCTTGATTATGTGATATATACATTTATTAGCGCAGCACCAAAAAGTTTCTATGGACTACAAGTACTACAGCACTTGTGCTCCATTTTTAACTATAGCTGTTCTGCCCCGGAGACAAATGGGACCTGTAGTTTTTTCATTCACAGCTCTCTCAGCCACAGTGAATTCAAATTTGAGCAAGCGGGAAGTGGAACTCACTGATTCGAAGGGGTTTGGTTTAAACGCGATAATGTTTCATCTTACACCCTAATTATAATGAACATGGTGAAAAAGGTAGAATTAGCTATTAAAGATAAAAGTAGAACTAAAGAGAAAGAAGAGAGGATTCTAACCATGTTTTTTTTTGTTTTGTTTTGGGTTTTTCTTGCCTCCTGTGTCCTGTTGGGGTGATTTGCCTTCAGTTCCTATCCCTTGGCCAAAACAGGAAGTGAGAACAAATCCCTCAAAAGTGAGGAAATCCTTGCTTGCCACAAGGATTACCCCCACTGAAAGATTTTCCATAGCTTACTGTTCTAGGGAAAGCCCAAAATTTGAGATTTTTTCTTTCACTTTTGGTGATAATGGTAAACAGGCAATAATAAAGCCTGACAGGTGTTCTAATCTCTTCACACTAGCCGAAACAACAAAAAAAGTTTTGCCTTTAGTTATTCTTGAACCTTAGACAAACAGCGAAAACATAGTTGGAATGCACAAATAGAAATTGTTTTACCTGCCAAAGTATTTGGATTTCTATCCAGACATTTCAGGGAGAATCCAGGTGGATGAAACCATTTAGAGTGGTGTCCCCTCTTCACCTCAACCTGTTAGTTGGACAGTGAAAGAATCCCTTAGCTCACTTTTCTCTCTCCTCCTATCAGCATATTTCTTGTCAACACCTTTGCAGGCAAGTAGGAATACCCAATGGACAGAAAAATAGTCAAGAACAAAGTCAGGGAGAGAGTACTGTTGTAGAATCCAAGATATAGGACAGGGGTGTCAAACTGGCAGCCCTCCAGCTGTTGCGAAACTACAAGTCCCATCGTGCCTCTGCCTTTGGGAGTCATACTTGTAACTGTCAATCTTGCAATGCCTCATGGGACTTGTAGTTTGGTAACAGCTGGAGGGCCACCAGTTTGACACCCCTGTCCTTTATCTTGGATACTACAACAGTAAGCTCTCCCTGATATTATTCTTGACTATTTTTCTGTCTATTGGGTGTTCCTACTTGCCTGCAAAGGAGAAACCAGAAGATGACTCAGCTGACCATGATCCATCCATAACTAAAATATCACTTATGAGTTAAGTTAACCTTTAAATGTCTCTTCCTTTGACTATGTCCTTCATAGCTTGTACTGATTTGACCATAATTCTTATCAAACCTACTTCAGCATATACTGTATAGTATGTGGTAGCACAGTGGTGGTCATTATTGCTGCTCTGCTATGTATATGCTTACAGCCAGTGTCACTGTTCTGTGCTGGGAGATCACTTAATTGACACTCACACTGACACTGTCTTTCTCGAAAACAACTCTGTCTGTCTCTTTTATCATGTTGTAGTGCAGGGGTTGGCCAGAGGCCTCTCACCAACTGTGTGTCAGCAGGGTGATCACCTTCTGCTCCCTGTTAGCAGCACAACCAGTATCCACAGTGTCTTTATCCTCGATCAGGCAGCAAGCTCTGTCAGCATCAAAGGCACTCTATGGCATCACCAAACATCTGTCACAGCAACTCTCTCCTTCTCTGGTGCAGGGTAGGCAGTCTGCTGATAGTCTTAGACACTCTTTGTCCCTGCAAATGTCCCTTTCTGCCTAAAAACCGAACCTGTTTTCCTCCCTCTTCTCACTCGAGCTCCAGTGCCTGTTGGGAACTGAAGTCTATCCCTCCCAGGGTCTGAGGCCAACTCAATTTGTAGCAACTATACCTCCCACAATCCTCCACACTTCTCAGATTCTGATTTTCAGATGCTCCCCCTAGTGAATGGAGGGCAGGCTTACATTGGCTGTTCTATATCCTGTATTAGCAGTCTTTCCTTAAGCTGTGCCTGTAAACTGTCTCTGTCACAGATCAGACACAGAATTCTTTCCCCAAACATGAACAGCACTGTAAACAGTAACGTTACAGTCAGGTCCATGATGTTACTCCTGTCCTGCCAGTTCTGTCGGCCGGTCTACACTGGCATTATTCAGATGAGTTGTGACCTGCACCATAAGGATCTGTAGCTATTATTCACAGTCTGAACAAGCACTGATATGGATATTAGTATCCAGGCTATGAAAAAATACCAATGTCTATCCTACACTCGGTGTTACTGTGTCTGAATGACAGCTCAGTCCATCCATAGAAATAAACGGTTTCTGTCATTCAAAAAAAGAAATCCCATCTAGATTCTGAAGAAGTGCTGAGTGATGATCTAACACACAGAGAGCAATATAGTCATCAAAATGGATATAGTGCACACAGTGTGCAGTCATGTAGTGACTACAGCCACACTATTCAAGAAGTGACATTCTTTATTAATAAATCAGAAACATTAAAATGGCCAGACTGGATCACAACGTCCATGTCGGCTTGTTCTAGGTCCTTCT